ATCATCTGGATCTGACTCCAAGGAGGAACAGAGTCATATTGCATTGGAACATGTACATATTTCCAAGCCCCTTGCTAAACGCATTCAAGCTTACCTTGTGTCGGAACCCAATAAGACCAAAACAACAATTATTATTGACTCCGGAGCAACATCCCACATGGTCCCTCACCGCTCCTGGTTTGAGCCAGGAACATACCATGTTCTGCATCCTCCGAGGACAATCAGTTTTGGGGATGAATCCTCTGTAAATGCCATTGGCATTGGAACAGTAATCCTACAAGCAACTGTTGGCAAAAAGTACTACAATATTGCACTGTCAAATGTCTTACTTGTGCCAAACTTCACGTTAGCACTCGTCTCTGTCCACAAATTGTCCAAAACAGGGTTATTAACACTTTTTCTAGCAGGGTCAAATGCTTGTGAAGTTCGGAAAAAGGAGGAACTTATCCTCACTGCCTTACACAAGCGAGGACTTTATCACATCCAAACAAAACCCGGAATCAACCCGGAGTCAGCTTTTGCAGCAGTAGATGTAAATTTATTGCACAGGAGAATGGGACACATTGGAATGGACCACTTGCAGCAAATGGTTACAAAAGGACAGCTCCAGGACGTAGACACCCTTACCGGAACCCCGGAGTTTTGTGAACCTTGTGCTTTAGGAAAGATGAAGAAATTACCTTTCAAGTCCACTGGAGGAAACTAAGCCAAGTGCCCTATACAAATTGTGCACATAGATGTTGGAGGACCAATCAAACTAACCTCTAGGGAGGGTTTTCAGTGCTGGATTATCATTGTAGATGATTTCTTTAAATTTCTATGGATATATTTCCTAAAACATAAAAGTGAAGCACTGGAATGATACAAGCAATGGAAAGAAGATGTTCAAACATTCTTCCGGACTCATTTGGGAGAAGAAAACTTCATTCCACTATACACAGAATTCCTCCAGAGCGATGGGGGAGGAGAATATACTGGCAATGCATTCAAAAATCAACTCCGAGGAGATGGTGTCATCCAAGAAACTACAGCTGCAGATACTCCGGAACAAAATGGCATTGCAGAACGCATGAATCAGACATTGGCTACATTAGCAACCACCATGCTCTATGATTCCAAGCTCCCAAAGTCATTTTGGGTAGATGCCATGCAAACAGCTGCATATATCACAGCATGCAGCCCAGCATCAGGACTCCATGGAAAGACCCCATATGAAATACTGTTTAAAAGGAGAGTTGATCCAACTTTGTTTTGCCCTTTCGGATGCCAAGCATATGCATTGATTCCGAAAGACAAAAGGCAAGGGAAGTTTTACTCCAAGGGGCACAAAGCCATAATGATTGGCTACACACATGGAAAGCAAGCCTACAAACTCCTAGACACTGAAAAAGAACTGTGTTTTCCAGTCGGCATGTCATATTCAATGAATCCGGAAAGGTACAAAAGGACAACACTGCTCCCTGGAACACAGACACTAGCACAGATCAGTGGAAGGGACTCATTCCAGAGAATGCTCACTATCCAGACCAAAATACATTGGAGGAGGATGATCCCGACCCTCAGATCCGAGATCCAAATGAATTGCAAATGGAACCACATCTCCAATGAGATGTTCCACAAGCAATGGAATCATATCAGCATGAAGATGTTCCAAGAGCAGTGGGGAAATACCTCTGTGGAGACGTTCCGAGAGCAGTGGGAGCACCTGATCAGCTAAGACACCCACCACAACAGTCTCTACAACCAAGACCTGAACACTGGCCATCTTCAGAACGGAAAGCCAAAGTAGAGTTACAGTCAGTGGGAGGACAGCCCCTCAACATACAGCCAGCTGATGTGGAAAAAGTCCGAATACAGCTAGACAGCCTGTCTATTGGATCAGCTTCTGGAAGGCATACAACACCTCCAAGGAGTCATCCAACACCTCCGAGGAGTGATTCAACACCTTCAGGAGTGAGTGGGGCAACAAATACACAAATGTGTCTACTCCCTGGAGTACCTGCATAAGTTCCTAAAAGAGCAGTCATGCCTGCTGAAGTCCTAGGAGTACGCAGAAGCAATCTCCAGACTTGTCCTGCAGATAAAAATTGAGATTATCAAAGGACTCTAGATGAGGAACAGCCTTGAAAAGAGCAGCATGATAACTCCATGGAGAAACCTAACACTCCTGAGGTACATGAAAAAACATCTGATACAGAGGAGACATTCTTTGCTGGAATAGCAAGTACTGGTCCATTTAACACAGACCTTCTAAGGACACTAAAGGAAGCCTTATCACGTCCGGATGGAGAATTATGGAAGTCTGCCTTGGAGGAGGAACTCCTAAGTCTCAATACTAATGCAGTATATGACACTGTTCCACTTCCGAAGGGAGTAAAACCCATCACATCAAACCCTGTGTTCCGGATCAAGTTTGATCAAAATGGAAACATTGAGAGATACAAACTCCGGATTGTTGCACAAGGTTTTACTCAAAGGGAGGGGATTGATTACCAGGAGGTTTTTGCTCCGGTTGCAAACTTAGAGTCAATCCAAATTATTCTAGCCCTGGCAGCAAAGTACGACCTAGAACCTGATCAAATGGACGTATCCACAGCTTATCTCAATGGAGAACTTGAAGAAGAACTGTACATGCTTCCTCCAGGGGGTGTTCCTATTCAACCTGGATACTGCTGGAGATTGAAGAAATCCATCTACGGGTTAAAACAAGCTGGTCGTACATGGAACAAAACTTTTGATCGCAAGCTCCAGGAGCTCGGTTTCACAAGACTAAATGCAGAAACATGTTTCTATGTATTCCGGGACAACAAACAAATATGCTTTGTTGTTGTCTATGTAGATGACCTCCTCCTAGGAGCTTCATCCCGAAAATTCATGGATATCACAAAAGCCAAACTCGAATCCATATTCAAAATGCGGGACCTTGGAGAAGCAAGATACATCCTCGGAATAGAAATCCAATGTGATTGTTCAAACAAAACAATATCCCTATTGCAATGCCAATACATTGACACAGTCCTGGAGCGTACTGGAATGAAGAACTGCAAACCAGTATGGACACCAATGGCCCATGGATCAAAACTCCTTGCAAATGCTCCAGGGGAAGATATTGTGCAACACGAGATGCATATTGAAGGGCGTCAAGTGTCATACCTCTCAAGTGTAGGCTCCCTCATGTATGCCATGCTCGGAACCCGCCCAGACATTGCCTACATTGTTGGAATACTAAGCAGACATAGCTCAGCGCCAAGGAGCCATCACTGGGAAGCTGCAAAATGTGTCCTCCGATATCTGAAAGCAACCAGGGACATGGAACTACGATATGATGGCACAGATGTCTTCATGGACATGGATTTCTATGGATATTCAGATGCAGATTGGTCTGGAGACCCAGACACATCTCGATCAACATCAGGGTTTGTCTTTATCACCATCCGAGGAGCAATCTCCTGGACAAGCAAAAGACAAACCATGGTCGCTTTATCCTCCACGGAGTCAGAGTACATTGGATTGAGCAATGCTGGGCAACACCTTGTATGGCTTCAGACATTTTTTGAAGAAATTGGACATGCTCAAAATGGACCTACAAAATTGCACTGTGACAATCAAGCAGTTATCATTCTTACACGAGATCCGCAGTTCCGTGCTCGCACAAAACACATTCAACGGAAATATCATTTTATCCGAGATGACTTAGTATCAAAGGGAGAGGCAGTAATCAGATATGTTCCTACAGGAGATATGGTTGCAGACATTCTCACTAAACCCCTCACTCACAAAAAACACTGGAAATTCTCTAAAGCTATAGGACTATGGTTGCACTTGAGTGGGAGTGACAAAACTGGATAAACCCGGTCTCTGCCGAAGCAGCCATTGTTCTCCATGGAGCATAGCCACCACTCCATGGAGTAACCATTGTTCTCCTAGGAGTTGTTATACTGTAGCGAGTAGCACCTCCGACTATAAGTAGTAGGGGGTTTAGTATAGGAATACCTCAGTTGTTTCTATAGCCTCTCGGGCAGCGGCTGAGGTATGTTACATTACATTTATTAGAGATCACCTTAAACTAACATCTATTGTAGTTTCACTTAGGTTTATTATACCTGCTACCATAGAACATAAAAGCTATCACTACCATAAAATATTATTCCAGGGCATTTATATTATTTTTACTTGTATTATAATCAGAGGTCATATTCAGTAAAATCAACATATATTCCTACTACAGTTACATGACATGTGTAATGATAAACTATCCTAACAAAGTTGAAATATACCTTTAAATCAGATACTGTAAGTTATTCATACTGTGTATAATGCACTCAGTAATGTTATATAAATGCTACCATGAAATTACTCACCACAATTTCATGAATGGCTTGTGAGCTTTGCTTGATAACTCATCAAGTCTGTGCAAGACAATAACTCAATAAGTGACTACCAAGTATTAGATGGGTGAAATTATCTCTGCCTATTCACCAATGACCCAGAAAAAATAAAGGTGGTTATACAAATACCAATAAATCATTGTAATGACAAAAAACATCAGTGGGGATAGCTAGGACTGATGAGTCCCCATTACGATAACACAATTTTTGGACCTTTCCTTCTTTTTCATTCTCTGCTTTAACCTTGTACACTTTAGCTTTCACACAGGGTGCCACGCGGCACTTCCCCTTTTGTTCAAACTCCTCTTTCTCACGCCACATTGCCTTCTTTTTATTTTAGATACAACTCTCTCACACAGTGGAGCTGGTCATGCGGGCTAGGCCCCATGACATCATCAGCCACTGACTTTATCAACGGTACAGTACATAAGTACAAACACTCTGTATAAGTATATATACCCCAATAAATCCAGGAGACTCTTCAAAATACTATAGTGTGGGTAGTCGGAGATTGAGATCCGATACTCAGCTGGGAAGAGGTAGATCCACAGATAGCAAGTGGGGACCCCCAGTTACATTTTTTTTATTACTTTACAAAGAGAACAAGTCGACATGTCATCGCAACCAGATATCAATGCCCTGCTGCACAACATGTGTGCGCAGATTGAGGTGTTGACCACTCAACTCGCCGAGCTGCAGGCAGATCCCCCTGCGGCAAACCCCTCGGTAGAGAAAAAGTTCAACAAGAAAGTCGAAGTTGTCGCTGACCCTGGCACCTTCGAAGGAGACAGAGCGCGATTTGCCGAATGGTGGATCAAACTCCAGATTTGGGTTAAGGCAAACTGGGACGCATTTGCCGATGACTTTGAGGTAGCCACTGCGGTGCTATCTCGACTAAAAGGACCTGTGGCGGGTTGATACACCCAAGTAAGACTTCAGGAGTGCTACACCATGGGAGTGTGGCCCACCTGGGACGATCACAAAGTAGAGATTGAGAAATATTTCAAACCGCAAGCTGAGCATGACTGGGCGCGTCAGCAAATCCGTTCCTTCAAACAAGGCAACATGAGGACGGATGATTTTGTAACCCGGTTCCTGGCCCTCTCCATCCAAGGGGGTCTTGGCAATGAACATGCAGTAGAGCTGCTGGAACGCAATGTGAACCCCCACATTGCAGAACAGCTTTATCTGCAGGATATGAGAAATGAGAATCTCTCTCAAGCAGCAGAGGAGGTTCAAAAAATAGGTAGGGCCATAGAGCTCTACAAAATGCACCAAGGTGGCGAGACCACCAAAAACAACCAATCCCAGAGGCGCCCTGGGTCATCAAACCATCATAATCATCTCACAGGTTCAAGCCTTTCGGGCTGCAGCCAGGACAGGGTGCTCCTATGGATATCTGCGTGGTTCAAGGTGGACAGATGCGCAGATTCAAGGGCAACTGTTACAACTGTGGCCAAGAGGGACACATGTCCCGAGATTGCAGAAACGGGGCGCAGGCTGCCCAACAAAAAAATAACCAAGGGCGCCAGGTGCACCAATTAGAGTCCGAGAAACTGGATGATCAGCTCCAGACTCTGGCCGGTCGTTCGTACGACAAAATCCGGGCCTTCTTCTACGATCAGCAGGCTGCTGAAATGAAGGCTCAGCGAAAAGAGTTCGGAGCTTAGGTCACTTGGGTGCCTTCGCTCCTATGAACAATGAAGTAAACCACAATAAGGTGGCCCCTGCTCCGGGGTGTTGCACGAGCAATAAAGGAAAGACGGGGATGGCTCCCCAGTTTGTAAATAAATTTCTAAATTTGTTATCTGAGACTTGTACTTGTATGAAGCTTTGCAATTGTAATATTTATGATACTACCGCTGCACCAGCGTCTCCTTTGGAGCGTGGCCCCGGCAAGACAAACAATAGGGTGCTTGATTCTGGTAAAAATAAAATAGAAAAACATGTAACTTTTGATACCCTTTCTTCTTCACTGGAGCCACCCTTTCCCGAAATCCCAAGGCGTGTGTTGATGCGCACATATTTATTCCAAAAGGAGATCCGTTTAGACGTTGGTGTGGAAAACCTTGCCTGGGGCATAGTACACCCAACCAGTGCACTGCTTGATTCAGGCGCTAACGGTATCTTCATAGATCAGGTCTGGGCAGAGCAGATTGGACTCCCCCTTGTAAAATTAGATGTATTTATTCCTGTCTATAACGTTGACGGTACACTGAATGTGGGTGGCTGCATCACGCACAAATGTTCTTTTGTGGTCGAATACCAAGGACACAGAGAACGAGTCACCGCCGAAGCTACCCAACTAGGGAAGATTAATTTAATCTTGGGCTGGACCTGGCTATTTAAACACAATCATAAGATCAACTGGCAGACAGGGGTTGTCACATTGTCACGTTGCCCTCAGGAGTGTGTGAACTTAGGTAAACCAAATCATGTCCATCACAATGAGCGTCTTGAAAAGATAAACGCTGGTCACGTTTATAAGCTCAGATCTTTAGAAAAGATCGACAATGACAATGATGAGGTAAAACCCGAAGAAGAGATTAAGAGACTGGTACCTCCCGAGTACCATGACTTCTGGAAAGTCTTTTCAAAACATAAATCAGAGCGCTTCTCAGAGGATAAGCCTTGGGACCATGCTATAGATTTGAAGGACACCTTCAAACCGAGAAAAGGACACATGATATCACTCTCTGCTCCAGAAAGAGATGAGGTATCAAGTTTCATAGATGAGCAGCTTAGGAAGGGTTACATCAGACCTTCCAAAAGTCCTATGATGTCCCCGGTGTTTTTCATTCCTAAAAAGGATGGTAAGAAGCGTATGATTATGGACTATTGTTACGTGAATGAGCACACGGTTAAAAATGTGTATCCGCTGCCTTTGATCAGTCAGCTAGTAGACAAATTGGCTGGTGCCAAGATCTTGACAAAGATGGATCTCAGATGGGGGTACAATAATGTACGAATCAAAGAAACTGACGCTTGGAAGGCCACGTTCACGTGCCACCGAGGATCCTTTGAACCCCTTGTTATGTTCTTTGGGTTGACCAACTCAACAGTGACCTTCCAGAGCATGATGAACGAGATTTTTGCGGATATGGAAAACTGTGTTGTCATTTACATTGATGATTTGTTAATATTTACAAAGTCGGACGATGAGGCTGAGCATGACAGGATCATGCAAGAAGTCCTTCGACGCTTACAGGAACAGGACCTATTCATCAAACCCAGAAAATGTAACTTCAAAGTGAAGGAAGTAGACTTCCTCGGTATGATCATAGGCCAGAACGGAATCAGGATGGATCCTGAGAAAGTTCAAGCTATATTGGACTGGCCAGAACCTACTCGCGTCAAAGGAGTTAGGGCCTTCCTTGGCTTAGGCAATTTCTACTGAAGGTTTATCGAAAACTTCGCAAAAATCACAAGACTGTTGAACGATCTCACTAAAAAGGACATTGTTTGGCACTGGGGCGCCAAGGAACAAGAAGCTTTCGATAAGCTTAAACAGACGTTTACAACGGCGCCCATATTAGCATTTCCAGAATTGGACAAAGAGTTCCGGCTAGAAACTGACTATTCTGATTTTGCTACTGGGGCTGTTCTATCAATTAAATGCCCTGACAATCTTTGGAGGCCTTGTGCCTATTATTGCATAGTTTGTTGCCTACAGAGTGCACACTACTTAGAAGGTGCTAGGCACCAATTTGAGATTTGGACCGATCATAAGAATCTGGAGTATTTTATGACGGCCCGAGACTTGAACCAAAGACAGGCCCGCTACGCGGTATACTTGTCAAGGTTTAATTATAAATTAATTCATAAGCCTGGGAGCTCTATGGGGAAAGCGGATGCTTTGTCCAGAAGAGAGGATCATGCCAACGGCATCAAAGATGACAACAAAGGTGTTACCCTGATAGACCAATCAAGGGTTGCCAATGTCAGAATTGGGCAGGATTCTGATCTTCTAGAAGTCTTCAAGAAAGACATCTCCTCAGAAGAGAAGGCGCGCCTTGACGGCAACAAAAACTATTTATGGGAAGACGGGCTCTTCCATTTTAAAGACAAAATCTATGTGCCTAAGTCCGCAAGGATCAAGGCAATAGACAGACATCATAACACTCCAGTGGCTAGGCACCCTGGGTGGCAACGAATAATGGAGTTGATCTCCAGACATTATATGTGGCCTGGCATGGTCAAAGACGTACAGGAATATGTAAAATCCTGTCTGAGATGTGCCATGGCTAAGAATTCTAACCAACCGCCGGCCGGTAAACTTATGCCGAATCCGATACCAGCTGGTCCCTGGCAAGATATATCGGTTGATTTCACAACGGATCTGCCCAAGTCAAATGGGTATGATTCAGTAATGGTGGTAGTAGATTGCTTCTCCAAAGAAGTGGTATTCATACCCACCAACAAAACTATTACTGCCGCTGGTACGGCAGATTTATTTAAAGATTTTGTATGGTCTATCCATGGGTTACCAGAAATGGTTATCTCCGATAGAGGACCTCAATTCGCTAGTGAATTTACAAAAGAATTATGCCGGATGCTGGGCATCAAACCTAAATTATCAACAGTGTTCCATCCACAGACTGATGGACAAACAGAGAGACTCAACCAGGAGTTGAAACAATATCTCTGGATAGTTATTAATGACAGGCAGACAGATTGGGCCAAGTGGCTAAAGATAGCCCAGTTCTCATACAATATTAAACAGTTGTCGGCTACAGGAAAGGCACCATTTGAGGTTACTAGATTGTACCTCCCCAGAATGGGTATAGAACCTGGTAAAAGCAAGAACGAGGCTGCTGGGAACATGGCCAAAGACATGAAGTCTGTCTTAGATGAAACGCGCAAGGCGCTATTCAAAACTGCAAAGCAGATGAAAAACAGGGCAGAGCGTAGACGCTCTAAAGCCCCTGACTACAAGGTCAGCGACCTGGTCTGGTTAGATACCGACCATCTAAAGTTAAAAGATTGGCAGCCTAGAAAACTGACCGAAAAATGGATTGGCCCTTACTGGATTAAGGATGTCAAACCCAACACAGTGGAGTTGGAACTCCCAAAACGGATGAGGGTAGTACCCACGGTCAACATTAGCCGTGTAAAACCCTACAAAGGGCCGCTGCCAGGACAGCGTGTAGACCGGCCCGGACCGGTTGTAGTCACCCAGGAAGGTGAAGAAGAGTTTGAAGTCGAACGAGTGGTGGATGCACGCTTGAAGCGTGGCAAATTAGAGTTCCTAGTCTTATGGAAGGGCTATGGAGACGAGGACAGAACATGGGAACCAGAAGCCCATCTGGACAATTCCCGCAACACTGTTCGCAAATTTTATTCTAAGAACCCCTCAGGACCTAGGAAGCTTAGAGGCATGGATTCAAAACTTTTTAATTTCCTTTTTCAACCTATGCCCGAAAATTTAACTACCACCTCCGGTATTTGGTCTTGCCTGGAAGTCGAACCTTAGAAGGGGGGTAGTGTTACCATAACACAATTTTTGGACCTTTCCTTCTTTTTCATTCTCTGCTTTAACCTTGTACACTTTAGCTTTCACATAGGGTGCCACGCGGCACTTCCCCTTTTGTTCAAACTCCTCTTTCTCATGCTGCATTGCCTTCTTCTTATGTGAGATACAACTCTCTCACACAGTGGAGCTGGTCATGCGGGCTAGGCCCCATGACATCATCAGCCACCGACTTTATCAACTGTACAGTACATAAGTACAAACACTCTGTATTAGTATATATACCCCAATAAATCCAGGAGACTCCTTAGCGAGTCCTCCTGTTGTACACCAACAAACTCTCTGCAGCTTAAGGGGTAACCACTCCCTCAACATCTTCTTTTGTTCTTGTGTGCGCCAGAGTAACTAACTCTTGGTTGTTACAGTCCCATATATAAGAATTCTGGACACAAACTATATCTGAAGGTAGACTTGTGATGTGGTGGTTGAATATAGTTGGGGCATTTATAGCGCTTATGCCAATGCAGATGGTGGCTGAGAATAAACGGAGCTTGTATTAGTGTCACATAAGATGACTGTAAAAAAGAAAACATACATTAAGCTAAGATACTTATTGAGTGTTGTATTAGCTTGACTTTGTTGCAAAAGATGGAGAAGATCCAAGTGAAATGTCCAAATGTACTGAGCTGTGATGTGACTTGTGACATAACACTAGTGCCACGTATACATCAAGAGCTGACTCTGAAACAAAAATGGCACAAAATCTAATCTAATCATAGGAAACATGTGAAAATGGACAGTGACATTATCTATTTTCACACACTCTATTATAGTGTTCAAAGTCAACTGCTGGAAAATTTGCTTTGGTGCCACATATTCAAACTCCGCCTAAATCCATCCTTGCGTCAAGCAAAACACTTCAACTTTGATGTGATGTTAGTGGTGTTCTTTCACTTCAGTCACCCCCAAAACATAAGCATTTAGCTTCAACTATCTGTGTAAATGTATAAAGCTAAGAGCTTGTTTTTCCTGGTATCATCCCAAGTGCTCCAGCAAGGATGGGATCATCCCAGAAGTGGGATAATACCACCCTTCTGGGATTTTCCCATGGTATCAGACCATTTGTTATGGTGGGATAATCCCAGACATTTGCCACATGTCACATGGTGTCAGGGGGGCTTTACTGCAAAAATAGTTCCT